CCTCTTGAACATTCAGAGTGCATATGAAATTCTAATGACGAAAGGTGTTCCCCGAGGGGATACATACCTAGAGTTTGTTTTGTGAAGCACGTCAATTCTCTCCTGGGGACCGTCTTCGTGAGCCTCTTATGGTTTCAGGATAGTTTAAATCCTGTGATGCTCCGATTCAATGCTCACCGATGATCTGAGCCATGGGGCAACTTTGTTTTCCTAAGAATCTTTGTGAACATTTCGAGAGCATATGTTTGAACATTTAGAGTGCATATGAAATTATATTTACGAAAGGCCGCCTCCGAGGGGATAAGACACCATGTCGAACATTGCATTTTTGTTCCTGCCTCTCGCGTTCTCTTCTCTTCCCGCTGTCCTACCTTTCGTGTCTCCCTCCTCTCAAGTTTCACCCTATATCACTGTTGCTTTGAAGACCCCATCTTTGCTTTTTTTTCCACTGTTTCAGAACTCAGCTCCGAAGCTCACTTTAGAGCCCAATGTGATGATTCAGATGCTTCAGCTCCTGCAAGCCGGGAGTACGCGCATTGACCGGTCGAGTCTGGTCGGCGCATTGACCCAAATCACCTGCCTAACGTGCCGTGGTGCGTCCGTGTGTTTTCTTGGGGTACACTACGTATAACTAGAAGCTGTATAATCTTGCTTTTCGTCCCGAGGAGCAAGTGCCGGTCTTCACCAAACTGGTTCTAATCCTGGCACAATGGCTTCTTGCCATCTTGGAACTACAAAAGACGCCGGTCTGCGCTCTCAGTGGCGGGAGAAGGCAGCATTTCATCCTGTGCAAAGGAACGCTCTCAGTGAGTCTTCACCTACAGGACCTAAAGCCCCTTAAGAGTCAAAAGGGCCTGTTTGAAGACTTCAGTTTGCGAGTTCTAGCACGGTGTCGAGTCTTTTTGTATTTGTATTTTTGTGAGGTCTCCTTAGATTGAGACCGGACACATACATAGGCGCTGGCCTGGAAGTTAGTTTGTTGTTTGGGCAAAAGAATCAAACCAACAACGAAGGAGTGACCCGGGGCCCCATGTCCCATTTCACAGTGGTCAGAGTTTTGTGTCCTTCCGGCGAACGAAGGCTTTAACATGGGACACCAGATGACCAAACACCAACCCAAACCGTGACATTCAGCCTGTTCAACGAACTCTTGCTTTTGCGGATGTGTTGGACTCGCCGTGTCGTCAGTCCTGCCCAGGAACTTGATCTCTCGTGTCGCCCACTTGGCACCCCTGCGGACGCAGATCCTGTTGGCCATCGCCCTTGTAGCATGTTGCAGAGAGGGCAATTGGGGGGCAATGTGCGGAGTTGGGGCGGCGTATCCTCCGACCGTCCGGCAAGGATGGGAAAAATACCATGAACATCATTTAATCATATTTGATCAGAATAATTAATAATATTATTGCTTTTTTCTTAAAGTCAACATCACACGAGGATTCTGGTACCAAGATACGCCACCCATGTATGAAGAGAATAGTTGGCGCGGGATGTTTTGGCTTCTTTATTGGGGGGTCATTGCTTTTGACCCACACTGTGATGTGGGTGCAGGATCAAAACTGCAGGGCTTTTGAACACATATTTTGACTGACGGATATGATATGCAAGAATCTGTTGAATCTGTAAAGGTTGCTCAACCTCCCCGACAAAAGGCAATCAGAATATGATAATTATATGTCGGACCTATTTGGTTAAAAGGTTTTATTTTTGAAACCACTGTAAAACCGTGTTTTCGATAACTTCTTGCACAAAACACATCTCCCAGGAGCACCCGTTCTGTTGTTTGTCCCTCGCCGGCAGGATGGTTGACTTATCAATCCATCAATGCACACTTCCCCGGAGGTCCCCCAGCTCCAGCTTGTGGGATTGGCTTCATTAACCGAGGTTCCTGGCTTCATCCAATCGACTTGTTTGGAGAAGGATCGCACCAAGGGTCAAACAACAATCAACGTGATCTTAAAATGCATGATCTTAAGTCTTAAAGTGCTTTCTTTCCATGAACCCATCAACCGCAGACCACCCTCAATATCCAAAAAGTGTGTGATCAAATTTCAAGTAGCCAATTGCATCTAATTACAAGATACTGACAAGAAATGCTTCAAATCATCCTTCTCTCCTTGTGATTCTTCAGTTTTGGGGCCAACAAGACATCACTTTTTTCCTTTGATCCTTCCTATATCTCGCTCGGGCTCCGAACGAAAAACACAACAAACAAAAAACGGCCTGGCCGCCCTGGGCCAAATCGGCCAAGAGCCAAAACCGCTCGCAAGAAAAGCGACGGAGCAGGTGGCGTTGGTCGCGGCGCCTTGGCTCCTGCGTCTTTTGGACCGGATCTTAAACGTGCTTCCCATCACCGGCGCCGTGGCATGTAAACGCGCTGACGGACTGGACATACCGGGTCATATTCCAGTCCGTTCGCATGTGTGGAAGCAAGGGAAATCAGGTCGAAATGGTCAAATGGACGGATGCCAGCGAAAACAAAAGCCCTCAGAGCTGCGTAACCTACGTGGCCTACATGAGCATGACAGAACTCACCGGCAAATTGCGAAGGAGTTGAAGGGGAAGTACGTAGGAGATTACCTTTGAAAGTCTTGATTTTTAAGCAATCTGCATAGGCTCAGTCGACTGAGTTACTAGTTTCGAGAGGTGCTTTCGTCATCTCTACAGCTGAGATTGCATGGCAGGTGCGGAGCAGGGGAGGAGCGATGGATTTCGGGGGAAAAGGATCTCGGAGGAACCAGTTGAAGCAGTTCCACATGCAGAGTGTTTTCGTTTACCCTGCGGTTCGCATAGCTATCCTGGCAGCTATACTTGGAGCAAATAAGTCTGGGAGAGATTTGCAAGGTGTTTCTTCTTGGGGAGCTTTACAAGACCCCCAAAGGTATAGAGTAATTATAGAGGTCCATAGGCCCATAGGTCGTTCAGGGGTCTACCTATTTTAGCAACTAGAATAATAACATCTTGTCTTATAATATGCACCCACATTTTGATGTTTGCCTGCGCAGTCCCGTCAGAGCTCAATCTGCACCATGGGCACCATTTTTTTCTGTGTGAAACTCCTGTTCGGAGCGTAAAGTGGTCCATGCAGGTGAATTCGGTCTGAGGGCGATGACTGCCGTCGATCAATGGCTGTAAGGCTATAGTAGATAGCATTATGCGATAATATGGGCTTTCTACGGCTAATATAGCGCCCTATATCGAATGGTTCAAAAAAGGACTATATATGAGCCTATGGCTCTCGAGGTGTCTGTGCTTCCCATGTGGCTGAGCATCGCATCCGTTCCAACTGGAAATCGCCCATGGCGGCGCTCCGCATGGCGCCGCTCCGCGGCAGGCGATGTTGATTCAAGCTGACTGGTTCCTGCCTGACGCGCCGGAGCTGGCACCCGGCGTGGAAGTGGCACAGGCTGGGCCGGCGCAGGACGGCCCGGCTAGGCTACGGAGAGTTCTCTGCTCAAACGACTCGATAGACCTAAAAAAGACGCCACGAGGCCACCAGGATGCACAAAGAAGACTAAGTGCAGATAAGTGCAGTATCCACCCCTGAGAATTCTTGGGCCAATGTGCTTAGTTACTTGATATATATGTTGATATTTTACATAGCCTGAAAAGCAAAGGCATGTCTACGGGGAGATCTCTTGACCCATCCCGATTGCTGGTCTCAGACCGCAAGAGACCCCCACCGGGAGGAACCAGGTGTTCAGCCCCAAATCCCACTTACCTCGGGTGTCTTTTTCGCACCCACCAAGGTGCCGGATCATGCGCCCTCCAAGATCCTCGGGTGCCTGAAATATCTCGGGATACCTCGTTGGGTGCCTTTTTCGGGACCAAAAGCAACGGTTCGGGATCCTTTTCGTGGGGGGGCTTTACGGTTGACCTGGTTCCAGTTGGACGATCTTCTCCAGATCAACAGCGACCTCAAGGGCGTCGTGGAGTGCCAGGAGGGCGACAAATGGCGGGCCACACGGCGTGGACGAATCCGCTCGGCTGATGGAGATGAATCCCGAATCCATGGGGAATCCAGGCATTCAGCTGTTTCCAGATTGTTGCAAACTAACGGAATCCATCGGACTATCATCCTATTCAACTGATTTCAACTGTTGAGTAGCGTGGTTGAGTGTTCAGTCATTGGCCTTGAGCCACACAAGCTGCTGTCATGTGGCAAGCTGGGACTAAAGATGGTCTTCTTGTCATCACACATGGTAACATGGTACTGTAGGTACTTAGTCATTATGGTATTGCTTGAATGGGCACATTGGCTATTGCTGGCGCTTGAAATGTTTGAATCATCAACGCCACGACAAACGAGAAAAGCACTTCCTTGAGGTGAAACACACCGAGAACGGCAGAGAGGGGTTGCTTGGCTTTTGTTTGGCGGGGTTGGATCTACAGATTGAACATGCAACAAGCTTTATTAGTAAGGTGTCCAGGATGTTGTTTGTCAGGTGTTCAACGATGAGTTTTGTCCTTTACCAGAACTTTCTGAGTTTACAACGCCTGTGTTCTTGTGCTCATAATATCATGTACATTGAGACATTTCATGCCTTACACAACACATGATCCTTCAATCGCCACGTGCAGCACTGTATATTTGGATAAAACTTGATCATTCTTCCCCGTCTGTTCGGGGCGTAGGACCTAGCTCCTTCGGCCTGGACGCTCCTAGTCGGGCGATCAGGCGGCATGTTTTCGGCCTCACTGAGGTTCTTTTTCGCGACTGAAAGCCAACTTCAGATACAAAACTCGAGCTTCCTGCTTCTCGTCTTTTCAGGGCCTTTCTGAACATGCTGATTCTGAAAATTCAGTCTGTCCAGGTGGTCAGGTTGGCAGGTTGTAGAAGTGTTTCCGGCTGTTTGTGACAAGTTGACACCTAAGAAACAGATGGTTTTGAGAATCAACAGGATGTTGGTTCTGCATTATTTCTTTGGAATTTTGCTAAATATGTGTGGACGTGTACGTACTTAAAGCTTGAGGCTTGTGAGACTTATGAGTTAGCACTCATCCGACAACCACATGTACCTGCGAACTTGAAATTATACCATCTATTTTGCAGCAGCCTCAGAGGGCAGCATATTTACAATAAACAAACCATGATCATTGATGCGAGTTCATCAGAGATTGCATCAACGAGCAAACCAGCAGGCACTTGTGGGAAGCAATTGCATTCCTTTTTCGCTCCCATCCTTGTTACAGCCTTTTTCGCTCCCAGGTGGATATGTCATCGTTCAGATCCTTGGCTCGATAGTGAATATGTCAACAAAACAAAGACTGAAAGACTTGGAAGGATAGAAAACGACACTTATTGCAGCATCCATAGCATGGAGATAGGTACTCTTCTGCCACTATGAATGCGATGTTGAAGATATTCCACGGACCGTAGCTTTGTATTGTTTGTGATCAGTGTTTGGACTGAGTCCGCACATTTGTGAAAGACGATGACATTAGAGTATGTAACAGTAACAGTTTTATGCCATTATGTGCAACTGGTGTGTTTTTTTCTATATGGATGTGCCATCAACCAATGTGAAGTGAAGCATTCTTCGGCTGAGGATTACAACGAGGAGTTCTTTCAGAGGCGGACAGGGGCTGTGGTTGACAGGTGGACAATGTGTTGTACACTTGGAATGAGTAGATTAAGTACAAGTGTCACAAAGGTTTCTACATCCCAAGGCTTACAAACACATGGAACTGAGGGAATAGTTGGAATGGTGTTTAGCTCAATCCCATTCCTGCTGTTCTTGATTTCACACAAAAGGGCTTCTTACATCACTGATGGCAGAAGATGTTTGTGCACAGCAATCCAGTACATACTCAGCCCCCCACACAACTCGTTTCAGTTTTGGGCATAGCATAGCACAAAGACATGCCATTGACCAAATTGACCCCACCACCCTTCTAACACAATTGGGAACCAGTTTGTGCATGTGTGAACGGTCAACCCAATCCGTCTCTATTTCTATTTCACTGGCTCAATGGCCATGCTACGTTGCTTGGGCGGGAGCAGTGTCCCTGAAGAAACCCATCGCCCGTCAAGTCCTTGGAAGCACCAAAGAAGGTTCTTCAGTTTTCTCGAAAATCTATGGTACTTGTACTAGGTTGTTCAATTTGGGTCCCAAATTGAAGATTACAGTGCTGCATAAGTACAAAAAAGGAGTCCTTTCCATGTGCCTCCTGGTGGCTTCGAAGCGAGAGGAAAACCACTCAGCATCACAGAAATGGATGAGTGTAAGCTGTCAGCCAGCCTACCATAGCCCTTCGCCAACCAGGTCGGCTGCCCAGGTTCTTCACTTCCAGGTCAACCTCTTAGGTCAAACCTTCGGACGGATGGTTGGAGGGCGCTAGTAGGTTGGAGGCCAGCGCTGAGTGTGGAACCTTTCAGGTCAAACCAACGATCGCGTCGTCCTGCCAGGACCGAAGAGGTCTCCAGACGTGACCTGGAGTCGCTTGGAGAAGAATGCGGCTGTGACGGCTGTGGCTGGATGACGGCTGGATTCTCCTGGGTCCATTTGGGTGTATTAAAACTATTGGAACTAGTTACATCTCCCAAGTCGACATCCAAAGATATTCGGCTCGACCAAAACCCAGGTTGGAATTTGGGAGTCTCCATATCCCAATAATGACCCATTTGGGTCCCCTCAGATGGATCGCCAGGACAACCCATTTGGATCTTCAGGAAGGAAGACCTGCAGGCCCATGGACGGTTCTGTGTATACTCGATGTGTCGCGTCCTCCATGATTTTCGGTGGGTTTTACACCGGAGACCCAGGGGTCCTGGGACGAGCTCGAGAGCCCCTTCTGTTCGTAGCTGGGAATAGTATCAAATCTGTATAGGTACACAGCCAGGACCAGGTGTGTCTGAAGCTATTTTAAAGGAGGCTCCGAGCTACAGATCCATCTAAGATGGTACAAGATGTTGAACCCAGCATCTTGTGCTCCATGTGCTCCATGCTCATGGGAATGGACAGACCCAGACCACGGAAGCATCATTCATCACCTGGAGCTGCGGACAGCACAGAAGAAAACCAGCATCATCTCAGGCAAGTGACGCATCAGCTAGAAGAGACCAAACAGAAGTTGGAAGAGAACAAGCAGAAGTTGGAGAGACTGGAGCGATTCTTGGACTGAAGAGATGGGCACGGGCCGGGCACGGGAGAGTTGCTATAGCACTACAGCACATCGGAATAGGCACTGAGTAAGCCTTGAGTAGTAAGCCTTAAGCTCACATCTCATATCAGGTCGGTCTGTCCGACTACAGAACTGGTCCTTGGATGCCCATCCTTCAGCACCAACATGGCATTCCAGGCATCCAAGGGCCCAGTGAACATGTTTGCATGCTCGGGTAGATGACAAGCTTCTGAGAATGACCTGCAGGGATTTCCAGATCTCACAGTTGGCCGGACGGAGGTCATGTTGACACATGTTGACGCCTGTTGAGGACAGGACCTTGTTCCAGGATCGTTTGGAACACCTTCTTTGTTCGGAGAGTCTCTGCTAGCCTCCCCTTGAGGAAATTTGGGCGGCAAGTTGGATGTCCTGATGAGGTCACCGATGGACGACGGGTGCGTGACGGGTTTGTGTGGTGTGGCTAGCGCCCGTGAGACGGGTTTCTATCGGATCAGTGTGGATCAGTCAGATGTTCATTCAGCGCTGTGCTTGACATGTTCTTGTTCTTGCTTAGCACTGGATGCCAGGTCAAGTTGTGGTAGCGCTGTGATACATGTTGTTGATGTTTATTTGTATCGTATTGTGCGTTCTTTTGTGCATGTTGTGTTTTTGGCATGTCGTTCCGAGTTCCCTGGGAAATCCGTGTTGGCTCCATGGCGCACTACCTCGATAACCTCGATGGTAGTACTGAATCGTATTGATTAATATGATTAGACTGAAGGCCAATGACATGGACATCCGTTGGGATCACATGCCATTGGCAGTCAGTATATATTATGATGTGCCGCATTCTTGGCATTCTTGGCTGCGTCACGTTCCTTCCCCTTGTGAAACAATGGCCCGGTCCAGGTATTTGTTTCGCCGCTTTACATGGCCAGTTTCACATGAGAACCGGCCTAGAATTTATCCGCTCCAGGCTAGACAGACGGGTCAAACACAAACCAAACAAAGAAACTATCTCAGCTCTTGGCAGTACTACTAGGAGCAAGGACGCTACTAGAAAGCATTGGGGCATCGCCACGAACGTAGCGTTCAGACGCTACTGTATTTGGTGGAGGCCAAGTAGGTTGGAGGCCATCGCTACGGATGGATCAAGAAAGCTACTAGTAGCTCCTGGCATTACTACTTGGAGCAAGGACGTGCCCCGGATGGCTCCTTCCGGTGGATCTCCAGGCTCATGGGGGATGGCTCCCATGGCTCCCATGGCTCCCAACACTCCGACGCGGAGCCCAACGGTGCGGGACTCGAAGAAAGCAGCGCTTGTGAGATTGGGCTTCGTTGGGTATTAGTAGTAATTTTATGTTAATTCTAATTCTTGTTTCTACTTGCTTCTTGTTACTACTAGTAAGGCACTTGTTACTAGTAGCGATGCACTTGTTCGTAGTAGCTTCTTGTTACTACTAGGGAGGCGGTCGATTTTGAGGGGCTCCAGGAAGAAGTTCGAAGCTTCCTTTGCAAGCCTGGCTGGAGGGGCCGGGCGGAGGATGAGCACTCTTCACGCTTTTTCGTCAGCATCTACACAACTCACCACAGGGATAAGCCACTTGGTCAAAGGCAGAGCTTTTAAGTTTGAGTGGAGCCATGAACACGCGAGGTCCATCACCCCGCTAAGCAGGTGGAGAAAGCTCTGAATTCCTCTCAGCATTCGATGTCAGCATGTCCTTAGGTCGGAACTGTCGGAGCATCCCTGAAATGTGAACAGTAAGACATCATGTCAGACATCAGTTCAACCTGTGGACCTGCATTCGTGTGACAGGTGTTGGAATGGAATTCAGTAGGTAGTAGCCATGTTTCACCAACTGAAGTTTGCTTTGCAGATTCGCGCAATCAGAACATCTACGGGTAGGCTTTGCCATGTTTTACCCTCTTGAACTCTAGAATCCTTCTTTAGCATTGTCCAAAGCCATAGCCTTGGATTGTCCACACTTGAAGATCCTGGCTTCATCCGCACTCTGCAGGCGCCCCTGAGCACGTCGACTCATGGCTGAAGGGCTAAGGAACCGAGAGTGCTTGATTATTGGCCTAGGTGACCAGGTTAAATTGGAGTATCCCATGGTTCCAAAAAGTCTTTGGAAGCGTGTTACAGAAGCGTGTTACAGCGATGAGTCGTCTACGAATCACCAAGCTCGGTCATTACCGTGCCAGAATCGAACGTGCAAGTAAACAGTGTGTGGGTCCAGGTTATTGGAAGTAGCGTGTTCATTGGCGATGTGGCCAACATATGTAGATGATTGGCCGCAGTCCCTTAGTGTTCCATGTGTGTTCATTACTGTAAATTTAATGATGCTTTTGTGTAACTGCAATATTCAACAAGCTGTTTGACAGTTCGCCCACGAGTGTTCCTGTCAATATAATGTAACATTATATTATTGTAATATTATATATGATATTATATACATATATACAATATCATATATATACGCGATTATGTTCATTGCCAATAGCCTTCATCATGGAAAAAGAGCGGAACCTCTTGCGTGTTTCAAACCATGTACTTTCCCAACTGTAACTATGGACCAGACAAAAAGAATGGGTGAACCTGGTCACCCAGCACCATAGCTTCTTGATCACCTCTGGCTAGTTTGCACATATGCGTTAGTTGGCTGGAGGAATTTCGCCTCCAGGCCGCCAGGCCGGAGGGATTGTTTAATGCGTGACCGGCGAATACCGGGTCGCAGGTGGAGTCCACGGGCGCGGCACGGCGAATGAATACTACACAGCGGTCACCCGTCGTGCGCAGTGTCCAAGTGGCGACACAGAACACGAGACGTCCATGGAAGTGATACCCAGAGCCATTCTTCTGAGAGACCATCCATGTCGGACGCCTGTGATCTATACAGTAAGCCGCTAAGCAGTACGACCGGAGTGTACAGAATCATGGCTGTCTCTTCAACCAATCCACAAACAAACACCTTGGTGCCAGTGCCTGTATGACACCCTAGCATGAGGCACCTATATAATAGAGGTGTTCAAGAAAGGAGTCAGGGCATTGATCCCTTATATCACAAGGGATTCTCCTCTGTTCTCCTACTGGCAATCCTCCGCGCGAGTTTCCGCCGAAGAGAACAGACGTCGAACTCGGAGACCCATCATTTGGAAGAAAGGACACCGGCCATTTCCAGCAAACTGTAAATCATGCCTCTATCCAACAAACCTGCAGCCTGATTTCCCTCTTCAAGACCCATTTCCTATGTATCAGTGGGTCATGACGTGGATCCTTTTTGACAAACCAGCACCGACCTTGTCACCGACCTTTTGCTTCCTACCCGTGTGGCTCACACCCACTGGACCGGTCGCCGGTCCACGCGCTCGAGTCCTTCGGGTCGCCCGGACGGAAGGCGCGAGCTGCGAAGTCAGTGAGGTTCTGGGGTGAGTGAGAGCTGGATGTATCCCTATACAGGTCAGGTCATAGAAAATACTTATGAAGTGAGGTTCTGGGGTTCAGGTATGTTCAGGTCATAGAAAATACTTATGAAGTGAGGTTCTGGGGTTCAGGTATGTTCAGGTCATAGAAAATACTTATGAAGTGAGGTTCTGGGGTTCAGGTCATAGAAAATACTTATGAAGGGGGTCAGCTTGACTAGGTTTCACTCTTGTCAGGCTGGACTGGTAGCAGACTTGGTTAGGTTTTAAATGGAGACCTCCCAGGCAACGACACCCTCAAAGAAAAATAGGACCCAAACTCTCCAAAACGCATGGGGCCAGAGGGTCTCGGTCTCGCTATTGAAATACATGACCCGTGAGATACTCTAAGGTGAGATACTCCAAGAGTGCGCAAGCCGGCCCGGCCGGCCCCGTTGTAAGAGTTTGTTTCAATCAGCTGAAATAGGTTGTTTCAGAAAAACCTCCGGCCAAGGCCTCGCTTGGAACACAAACTCCGGCCAGGTCGGCAATGATTCTCATTGGATTCCTGGGTGAATTTGGGATCATGATTTTTGGACTGTTGCATTGATTAGGACTGTCACCCCCCATTGGAGGTTCTTTATGAATCAAGAGTACATTAAGGAGTCATTCACAAAATATACATACAATGTCCAATCGACCAAAGCAGTATGAGAGGAATGCACAAGGCTTCACCTCACCAAAATGAGGGCGACCCTTGCAATAGCAAGGGTAGGTTCATGAGCATCATGGCCGCTTGGGTCATGGATCTGTGAGAGCAAACACAGAATCTGAGGAATTCTGAGGCGGCGCTATGTCTGAGTGTTATGTCTCAGTCTTTGTGTCTCGAAGATGGAGTTCTTCTGAGACCGGGGTTGCATTTGTCAGAAGAAGAGGCTCACTGACTGATGGAGTGCCGTGCTCTGAAGGGAACGATGTCAGCGTGCCTTGCGGCACAATCCCCATTGAGGCTGCTCTTATGGCACCCTCCGATGCGAAGGTACAGAAGCGTTTGTTTTTTTTTTTCTCCGGTAGTTGAGCGCGCTGCTACTGTCCAAAGGGTGCATGACCGCAGCAGACCACACTATCCAGGAGCAACCAAACCTGCAAACCTCGGAAAACGACGACATAGTTTTTTTCCCGAAAACCTGTGTTTTTACACACCAAGTGTCAAGAACGTAGTTTCGCAGTGTAAAACTTGGTTTCACGTGCTCAGAACCGTTATTAATTCCGTGCAAAGCCAGTAGTTTACTTGTGGACGGTTTTTGAGAAACCCGGTTTTAGTTGCAAACCACTTTTGTTTCTAGGTTTTGAAAAGCGCCAGGAATAGGTCTTTGTCTTGTGACTTCTACGACGTTTCGGAGCTACCACTGTCTTTGTTGTTTACAGCCGCATTTTAGCTACGAACTGCCTGAATTAGGAAGAACAAGAGCGAACAGCATCAGGAGACAATTTATATCAAATTATGTATATTTTGTTAGTTGTGGTAGAACACTCTACTTCTCTAGCCTGCACAACACTGATCCTTCCTTAGAGGCATGACACCCTTTGGCTGGTTTCAAGCGCTGGCAAAGCAGCATTGGCTGCCGGAATTTCAGTGCATCAGAGGCTTCAATGCAACAGTTTAAACACTTTGAAACCAGGGTTCGGAAAAACAACCGCTTGAGGGTCGAAGGCTTACAACACAATACAATATTGACACATAGTTCACATTAATGTTCAAAACTCCTGGATGAACTGCCGGCTCTTCATGATTGAACAATGTACCAAGGACTTGACAACCCCTGGCCTGTGAACCCTGCATGGTTTCGTTTCAGGGGCAACTGCGCAGCTGACGAACTGCCAAAATACCCCTGTTGAGGACCAACTAGAGTGCACAGTGCGAAAACTCGAAAACTCGATTTGATTCCATATTTGTGTTTGTCCAACTGTTCTTTTCTGTCCCCAACCAAATTCCAATCAGGAGTCATTATCCGAAGGGGGTGAGACCCCATGAAAATGGTTGCCTTCTGGCTGGTTGTATATATAGATGAACAGGCCGACATGGCTGGCATAGTGCGAAGATCCAGGTCAAGGATACCAGGTCTGGCTGAGTTCGGGTGACCAGATGCTGTTGCTGCCATCGTCATGGCCCGCCGAGAATTGGCCAAGAGAGATCTGTCTCGTGGTGAGTTAGCCGCCTGCCTTTTGACCGTGAATGGCGCTCCAAAATGGGGGTGGACCATGAATATATAAGCTCAAACAATAATATGAAGGTATGGTCAAGGCGGTAAATCTACAGATTTTCTGAACATGTTTGTTCGATAAATGTGCTTTGACAATTGAAGGTTCGCACCGGACTCGTGTGGATGGTGGATACAACGTAACTCGTGGATCTCCTGGACTTTCTTATTCAGACCAAAACCGGTGAACCTGTGGGTTCCGACAGGTACGGTTCTTGCACCAGAAGCGCCAGAAAGGTGCTAAGGTGCTTCTACATGTCTGGAGCTTCGAAGTGTCTCAGATTCCAGAGACCACTGCATGGAATACTCTCCTGCAGAGGGCTACATGGAACCCAAAAGCCACTGCATTGTAGATCAAAATGGTCGAAACATGTCGAAACCACCGATCATTTCTCAGGTTCCATTTGTTAGTGTACGGGAGGGTATGATGATGCTGAGAGTTTCAGCTTTGATCTTTCCAATGTTCAGAGCTTTGAAGGAACAAGAACGACCACATCCAGAGGTTTGCAGGGCAGAGATGGTCAAAGGATCTGCAGCGCTCACCACCTTGTGCAGTCGATATCGAAATCCATCGGCCAAAGTTGCCCGTCGACGAGCTTCTGCCGGTGTTAATCAGCTCCTGCTGGCGACCGGAAAAAGACTGGCCGAGATGTTGTGCAGAAGAGAGCTGTGTGCTCCCCGCCTATCCGCAGGACCTATGCATGTTTGGCTCATGTGGGAACGTGGGTGAAGACAATATACGTGTTAGCTCCCGCATCAAATAGCAACGTACCCTCAAGTCAAAGGTCTTTTGCGCAGGCTGTTTGGTTTCAGGAGGCAGTTGGTGTCTTGCCCTGCTGTTTTGATTGTGTTGTTTCAGGTGATGTTTGTTTCAATGTCATAGAGTGCTGGTCTTCATGATTCTGGTTGCCGGACACACCACATGATGCAGTTCACATGAAAACACATGCACTCTTCACTCACGATGTTCACCATCCACGTCCGTCCCGACGGTGACACGTCCGTCCCATCCGATCCGCCGATCCAGCCAGCGAGCCATCGAGGCTGTGGCAGAGGCTGAAACAGATGCACAGCAGCAGTGGCAGGCGCGAGGTCGAGTCCATGTCAGCAGTGGCAGTGCCTGGGCGTTCGGCATTGGATACAAACAATTCTACTGAGTTGACCTACTGATCAGATACAGAACTTGGAGTTGTTTGAGATCATATAGATCATTTGGTCGAGCCATCAATGTTCAGAACGTGCAATGGATTCCAAGCTTATATGATACAATGACCCCTAAAAGCGCCAACAACATGTTCAAAGTCCATAACCATCTATATAACCTAAAACCACGTCCTTTGCAGGCTTTGTTCGACCCTTCTGTCA